AAAAAATAACGGCAGATGAGGGGGGTTTTCAGTATACGCATATATGCAAAGAAGTGCAACATTTTGACGTTAAAGTTTTTATTTCGTCCGCAGGCGTTTTGCAGAAAAATACATTGTGCGTCTAGCGGCTGGCTGTCGCAAGCCAGTTGTATCGCCACTTTCGAAGGGAGGGCTTACGCCTGAACGTTTGAAGAGTACCACCTACATCCATCAAAGACTTATACATTGTGCGTCTAGCCGCCGGCTGTCGCAAGCCAGTTGTATCGCCACTTTCGAAGGGAGGGCTTACGCCTGAACGTTTGAAGAGTACCACCTACATCCATATTCCAAAGACTTACCACCACATTCCACCGTACCATATTCCGGAGCAGCCGTTTGCCTGGCGTTTTCCCATTTCGAAAACGTTTCCAGGTTTACTCGGTGAATGGACGAAAGCATTTGTTTCATTGCATCAGATTACAGTAACTTGCTGGCCGACTGGTAGCGCCGGGTTTTTGAATTTTCATCTTTAGCTGAGATGGAGAGCTGTCATGTGATATTTCGAAAGTTACGGAGAAAATGAAGGCTAGCTTCGGACCACCCGTGTGCCCAGTGTGTAAGCAATATGTGTACTTTGCTGAGGAGCTGAGATCAATGGGCAAGTCGTTCCACCGAGCCTGTTTCAAATGTTGTGAGTTTTTACATTTACCTTGAACTAAAAAAGATTGCTGTCGTAAAACTCTTGACAGCTTTTCGGCGAATGATCATAACGGCGAACTGTTCTGTCGTGCATGCTACGCAAAAAAATTTGGTCCACAGGGCTATCGTTTCACTCCGTATTCGTCCATTCAAATGGGAGGTGCTGAAAGACGGTGAGTTATGCGATGAACGTGCCTTACATAAAATCTAATACCTTCTGTTGTTTCCACTATGATGGAAACAGATCCTCAGAAGATTCATGCTGGGTTGTGTTTTGAACTTTGTAATTGTATCCAAAGGAAATGTTCGGAATCCCTATTCGCTCCCTTCAACGAGCAGTCCTTTTTACACAGTTTCCATTGAATTACTACGCATGCCACTTTCCGAGGCAAGCGTTTGCAGAGAAAAATGTCACATATACGACTCACTTCAAACAATTGGCAGGCAGCCTCAATTTGGACTGTGTTCAAGCTCCAAATGAACATCTTCTGATCGGCTGCGGGCTCCCAATTTGCCGGTTTGTGCACATGTTCTTTTTCAAATGTAAATGAGTGAACAAAGGGCCTCCTCAAAAACCTACGTCTTAACTAGATTGTCCTACTGGCGTTATTGATCTGGTGGGCTTACTTCCAGTAAAACATTCGGTTTGTCAAATACAGAATGCTTGGAGACTTATTTGTATACACAGACGAACGATTTGTTTATCTTAAATTTATAGCTGTCCAACTTTGTGGTCATATGATTAGCTCGGTAATCCAGGGTATCAGATGAGAGGTTTGTCACACTTTACTTACAGGGAGGATAGGAAACTTTGGCCGGAGATTCTGATGCAACGAAACTGGATACTCAGGGTACGGATTAGTTCTACTAACGAAAACTGGGTTCTCTGCTCACCATTCAGCACTTATTTTCCAACATACATATCGGTATGTTGAATGTTGAATCACTAGTTATGCAATTAGTTTTCCAAAATCTACGCATCATTTCATCGAGGCTGAATGTGTTTCGCACATTCAGAATATTCTACCTACGTTACTCACACTAGTTTACGACACAGGTGTTTTGTTCTAATGAAAACAGTTAAAATTGGATAACTTTCTCATTTTTGTTTTACTCGCACGATGATTCCCACAGGTAATCAGGTTCCACACCTGAGGGTAAACAAATACCTGATACCTTGTGTAATAGCGCTATCAGAAAAGACAGGGTTTAGCTTAAATGCCGGTGTACGAACACACATTAGCATCTGCGGGCTTGCTTCGGCTCCACATTTTATGGACCCCGTGAATGCTTCGCATAGTTTTACCACACATAAGTGTTGTGAGTCAATCGCATCGCACTACTACAAAATGTGTGAAATATTGGGCAGGATAAAAAAGTTCTATTGATGTACCCAGTCATTTATGAAAATTCTTGCCACAAAACAAATTTGCCCATAAAGTAGACGGTTTGAATATAATTAAAACTGACGTCAAAATGTTATTCTGGATATTAAAGTGCACACTATGATTCCAAATCCAACAATCGTTTACCCAAATTTGCATGCAAACCGAATTGCTTGGGCTAGTAAAATGAAGACATTTCAACTGCTCCGGTTCAATCATAGTCCGCAAACACATTGTTTGCTTCATGGAACTTTCTTACAGTTTGAAATAAATTGCAGAAACGTCTAATAATACCACACCAAATTAGGAATGGAGTTTAAAAATCCCAGTTTGTCATGATGAAACTGTGAATTCTACGCAAGTGCAGAAAATAATGAGACTGTACTGGACAATGTGACAAAGGCTGTTACGGATATCCTGCAATTAGACGGCATAACTCTGAAAACAACTTTGAATGGGATATTTATACGAGCAGTCCCGCACGCATTCTAGAAATACTCAGAACGTTTATCAGAACGAGTGTGGCTCCGAGGAACCTAAATCAGAAACGTTACATCTGAACTGATTCACCACTAATAATGGTGCCTGACTGTGTGTTCACCAACTATGCCTGGCTATAACGGCTGGACGCTGACCAAGATTTTCTGAAAGGGCCTTAGATAGTATATTTCTTATGAAATCCATGTTGGATCGTCGCGTAGTATGTGTAAAAGTATTTCTCACGGTCTTAAAAACTTTGGCTGGCTGCTTTGTGCAGAACTTTTGGGATGGCTTTTCTCTAGAGTTCTCCACCTGTTGCCGCCATAAACTCAGGTTTGAGCGCGATTTATCTGATGACAGATGTCTTGCCATACCTGCCCCTAAGTGCAGCACCCTATAAAAGCATAGATGACGTTTGCGTTCTAAACGTTTTTGCCGTTTTTTGGATGAAATTTTAAAAAAAATTAGAGAAACTCTGAGACTGAATATTGGCCTCCTCTGTGAAAAACAACCATGATTATTTTGACTAACACTATATGCGACTGTCATTCAGATCACTTTTACGATCTTCTGTGTGAATCTGCTTTGGCTTGTATTGGTTTGTATTGTAGTTGTTCATGTATAATATGAGCTTACAAGCTGTCTAATTGTTGAACTGTCTTTTCTAATGACATATGGTTCCGGGAATATACATCACGTGTTACTGTTGAAGCAGAAAGCAAAAGTAGTTTTCTCTGTAAGTCGGTAATTCTGATGAGCCTGTTAATGCAGAGTGACTAGTCCAGTTTTACAACTTATCAGACATGGACAGGTTTTTCAAAAAATTCGATGCATTTGGGTTAGGGCGGTTAGCCCCACCATCTTAAAAGTGACAAAACTGGCTCAATTCTCAGAACAAAGAGTAAATTTACTCTGAAGCGCTGAATTTACGGATAAGTGATCGCGGTGAGAGCCATGTACATCTGTTGACGCCGCTGAGGAATCAAGCTTACCTATTATCTGTTTTGGCAAAGGCTCCGTCTTTTCAGTATTGTGCGTAAATTCGCTCAACAATGAGAATAGCTGGTGAATGGAAACACTAAAGCTCCTTCTGAAAAAAAACATAGCATAATAAAAAACAAGGTATGTGTTGCATTTAGTATCCTCGATGGCCTTCCGAAACCCTACAGAAACGATGTCCCTCTCCTTGGTATCCAGCTTTTCATTTTATTCGCAGCATATAGTAGGAAATTCCAGCACTAAGGTGTTTTACAGAGGTCGGTTCTGTAGGCAAAACGAAATAGTGAACAGGAAATCAAACGAAAAGCACTTTTCTATTTATCTTTTACGCGCACTGGTGGCAGCGCTGTGACAACTAGTGTGAGTTTGACAATGACAAGTGTGTTGGGATCAACGAGAGACCTGTTGCTATTAATGGATTTGAGTCTGACGTGAGCTTGATTACGTGAGGTAGAACTTCCTGATTGTTTCTTGCCAACCCTCAAATCAAATGCGAGTGTGGCTACTAACAGTTCTGGGACACAAATTTGGATGCGAATTGGTAGGTATGATCAAATGTAATGTTTATACTTATTGAATGATTACAAGTGACATCCAGTGAACGTTCCTCATCACAGAAGTATACATTGGAAGGTTTACGTGAATATATTATGTGTTCCTATCTTCAAGGCGTCAAGTGTATGCTAGAAGTTTCTTTTGGTAGCCAAGCGGTTTAAACAGTTGCCCTCACTTTCTTCTTTGTGAAAAGACATAGAAACACTAAATTTTGTTATACTAGGGTGATGGTGCAACTCTATGGGAATGATATCCACAGTGCTACTGCAGATAACTGCACAGGGGCAAAGACCTAAGAAATCCTTTACAACTAAGACGATAATATAAATTTAAGACAATGAAGTAAGTTCCCCACTTCCTTGAAGTGCTCAGCTCGGGTACTTAGGAAACTATTTCACATCTATTCGGAAAGCATCTTACTTATACATCTAGAAGGAATGATTCCCATTTATTACCAACAACACTTTACACCTGTTCTTCTTATCCTTATGTTATCTGATTGATTAAACCTGCGTACTTGACCATGGTTGCATTTTAAGTCCGATGAACTTCCAAAAATACCTCATACATTGTTCCAAATGAACGATTTCCCTTCTCTTGAATTCGGTATTAAATTATTTGTACCTGAGCCACACTTGGAGTGGGAAAAAACCGACCAAATGTTAAACTGGTAGATATGGTTTAAAGACGTGTAAGCTGAGTATGACTAATCGATCACACTCCTATTTAAATGACGACGCTGATTCGTTAGTGAACAAATGTTCTGTCCCTTCAAAAAAACGTATAGTCACTCTTAAAAATGTAAGATGTGTTATTAACTTTTGAGTATGACTAATCGATCACACTCCTATTTAAATGACGACGCTGATTCGTTAGTGAACAAATGTTCTGTCCCTTCAAAAAAACGTATAGTCACTCTTAAAAATGTAAGATGTGTATGTGTATATTAACTTTCTGTGGACTTATTACAAACGCGCACATAACGCAGAGGTACAAACAGTTACTTAAAGCATTTGATAACTCAGCTAAACCAGAGTTTACATTTTGGGATAGTTACCCCAACTAGTATCTGTTCACTTCCAAGCGATCCTGGTTGTCACGCATCCTGTCCAATGGTATGATGTGTAAGTTAGTGGCCAAAGTTAAGGCGCTCTGTTGTTGTTGTCATTTGCATGACGCCTGTGAAATATCCAACCATCTAACTGGGACCACGCGTCCTAGTGCCTTGCGAAAATGAACCAAGAATAGACTAGTAGATGTAATCGCACATCGGGATTAATCTGGATTGCCCATTTCAAAGGACCTTATCCGTGATATGTAAACTATACATCAAAAGTGGGTCACCTAAACGAATTCTCATCTTTGGTTGCTCGTCTACATGTCTCTCTATCTGTATAACCGTCAGTTTATGTTTCCAAATTTTCTATCCATCAGTCGTACATTGAAGTGAATCAGTACAGGTGAGTGCTGTCTATTCTGATAGGACTCTCCTGTTTGGACAACTATGTTGAAAAATTAGACCATATTAAGTAGGGACCGTTGTACTGGTACCCTCTGAAGATAGGCGTACTATCTGAAAAAAATGCATTTGTTCACAATAAGCAAGGAATCAAAGGACCCAACTGCGTTTGATATGAGCCAGGCAGTACCACGCTTGCCAAATGTATAGCTATTAGCCAGTGTATCTTGGAGATCGATCGCCCGCATATGCTTGGTGATGAGTACATGTGATTGCACGTTTGAGTCTTAACCTGTACTCACAGACACTTTCGGGTAACCGCTCAACAAAAATACATTTTCCTTTATTAAAGCCCTTAAAGTGCATGGTCATCCGTACAGAACCGAAGAACGGGAAATTACTGGCGTAGCTTACTACTTCGCAGCTCGGTTATTTCAATTCAGTAGCTTCGCTGACCGTCATAATGTACGCCTTTTAAAAATGAACACAGCTATCGAAAAGTTCTTGACAATCCGATTGACAATGTACATTCAAGGAAACACAACTCAGCGAAATATGCTCATTTGCAAACAAACTTCGTTTTGCCATAGACTTACCTGGAACTCAACTGAATCTCTCGTCCCAAGCAACTGAATGTGCTGCACCAGGCAGCCCCATGTTTCAGTCGGTGCGATATTCGAGATATCGCGATGTATGTAGAGACATACTATACTACTCATAAGGTTGCTGAAAATTCCTCAACAATCTACGACCGGTTTCACCCTTCTTGCGGTTCATCAGGTAAGCGCGGTCTCCGAGTTTCGATTAACTTAATGTTTTACTTGAAACCAAATTGCTTAGAAACACCATAATTGAGAGATCCAGTTGAGCCCCAGATGAGTCTCCCGCAAAGCGAAATTTGTTTGAAAATGAGTGTATATCGCTAATTTCATCCAATTTGGTCTCAAGTGGAACATAAGGTTGACGGAGACTCGGGAAGAGCGCCTACCTGCCGAGCTCCAAGAAGAGAGAAACCTACCGTGGGCTGTTGATGGATTTTCAGCAACCTTGTGAGTGGTGTATTACGTCTGTAAGACGTCATCTTTTGTGAATTTTGCTCCCCGTCTGATTAATGAGCAGTATGTGTGTTTCAGCGATCTCAACTTCGATTTTGCCAACTTACACATCTTTTACGCAGCTCAAATAAGCAGAAAGATTGCTCTGAGAGTTGACCGTTAAAGTTGGCTTCTTGGTACTGATAAATATTACTTCTTAAGGTATACCCCCAATAAATCATCAAATATTTTAAGCCATTTTTACCTCTCTTATTAATGTATATTTCAGTTTAAAGTGCTGAAACTAGACAGTCGACAGATAAAACGTATCAGGTTTAAATTCTTTTTCATATATTCACACTTTTACATCGCCGAACCAAGCAAGCTAAAAAAACAATTGCTCGATAGGAAACCCTTTTTTCTCCTTTTTTCTCACACACATCGAGGTAAGGCATGGTTGTGTTTCACAGGAATACGTAAAATAAAAGCATCTCCACTAAAAATTTAGGAGTAGCCTGCTTATATAGACTGCTTTCTAAGTGTTGTGACGTGGTACTTTAAAAAAGATGACACAAACTACTGATTCAACCAATGCTTTCTGATAAAGTCTCAAAATCCAGCAACATCCATTCCGTCGAATTTATTTGAAATTTGCCTGTATATCTGGTAAAGAATATCCACTGAATTTGTGGAATGACGCAGGCACTACCCACCCCTGGTTTAATAAGTGATCTCCGGTGAAGACCGTATGCATAGAATTTTGGTGACCACGTGTAGCGAAGCGCCTGGCGTTGGGCATCAATTCGCACCGTCTGTAGCCACAGTAAGGTATTTTGTCAATCGCACATTTTCGAGGCCCCACCCCACCCCCAGGTGACGCGCACCTTCAAGCTCGGTCAAAATCAGGCTCTTCTTAAAAGCATTTCTTCGGAAAGCAGATGGTTTAAGTTGAGGCTTCACAGCACTCTTCTTTACATGTGGGTAGTAGCAAACCAGTTCAAAGGAAAACGCATTCTGAAATCGATCTTTTAGTCTGCCAAAGATACAACTGGATACTTTTACGTAGAATAAACACTCAAGCGTCTCTGTAAGCAGTTGCGCTGTTGAGCACATTTAACACATAAATGCGTGTGTTCAATTTTGTATGCGTCAATGCAACAGAATCAGGGCGAAGTAGACGGACTATCCTGTGTGATCTCTATGAACCAGTCGTTTACCTCCGGATTGACAACTGCGATTCCATATGGATAATATTTTATCAGCTTGTTTAGGACGAATTTTCCGGTTTCTTCCTCCTGTTTGACAGCTTTTTTTCATTTTTCAAAACACCTAACGCATAGCTCGTATTGATGTGGGAGCTGTTTGTAGTTCCTCTACGTGTTGTTGTTCACATCCAAACACTTTATCAATGAAACGTTGGAATAGTCTAAGTACAGTGTGCTTGTGACGCAGAATTCCACAATGAGACCCCAGGAAAACCGCTCCAGATTACTATACCCGCTCTCTAGTGATTAACGCTCACTGACAGTTACTCTGCTAGAACTGTCTCTTACCTAGGTCGTCTGGAATGATGAAACTGATAAAATCGGACCAAAGTTGAAACCCGACCGTTTTTACGCGGAACAGACATCCGAACGCCGTGTATATCAGACACTGGCCTGAATCTGTCCGGTTTTATTCTTTACTGGGCCCTATGTATATGAAAGAAGTGACTGCAACTCAATGTTTAGCGAAAATGGTTCTATACAGGTAGATAATATAAGGTCCATTACGGGTGTTCTAATTCCTCTTCTGAGCGAAGTTGCCACAAGCTCTGAAGTTCCTGTGACAGCTATTTAGCTTTGTGAAAAATAGGATTAGTCGCAGATGATTGTAGAATATGTAGAATTCATATAAGCATAACCCTTCCCCTGGTGCCGCCACCACAACGGGGGAAGCATTGTTTTGCAAATATAGCGCGACATAAATCGTCTGTGGTTTGCGCTATTTGTGTGAACCGATTTTAAGTGGACCTTCCAATGGTACACGCGTTCCGTTTGATGAGGACCCAATATTAAAAAAAACAGGAACAAAGATAAAAGTTCCCTCACGTGATGAATTCTGTCCCTGGAAGAATCACCAAATACGTATTATGGGCGGTTTTGAAAAAAAAGGGACACAGCTCCTTCGGTAGCCACTCCGTTTTGCAGTGGGCAAACTAGGAACATAAGCCAACACTGGGATTTTTTCACTTTTTTGCCGCATATTCACTATCATAAACCCTGACAATTCGGTCTGGCTTACATCTTGATAACGGTTTTTGTGGTCTGTGGAGGTTCCGAATTCCGCTTATCCATTGACGGAGTTTCAGCAAGGTGTTTTCCTGATGATATGATGTAAAGCTCAGCAAATCCAAAAGAATTTCAGATAAGCTTTGCTGTGACTATAGAGCGAGTCTTGTTCTCAGACACAGCAACGTTGATCTGTAGCTGAAAGTATCATATGGACTTTGGTTTTCGTATGTTTCTACAAGAAATCAACGAGGCCTTGTGGTTTAGCATCTTCCAGCATCACATTTGCGAGCAGATTTTATGCAAATTTGTTCATCTACTTAGCTCGTGTGCTGCGCCAGCGGAAGAAGTTACGTGAGCTCACATGCTTTTTGGCACGAAGAAGTTTCACTTGTGGTAGATCGCTCACGAGGATCAGTGTCCTTAGAGGACGGTGCCGAAAGGAACAAAATCCGCGGATATCGAAAATTTGTGATTCGTGCTATCTGGATTGGGTTTCCACCACTTTCCTGCCAAAAAGGGATGATATATTCAGCATTAGAGTGCTGCTTTTATATTGTCTGAAAATGGTGAGTGAATATGATTGTTCGCCGGCTCTGTAGGATCCTCCCAACAACTGTAAGCCGGCACGGTCACGGCAAAGGATAAACGGCTTTCACTCCAGTTAGGAACAGCGTTAGCCAACTGCCAGTGTTACCATGCAACGGACGTCAAAATGCTAGAAAATCTTAAATCAGCCAATCAGGGAACGTTTTCAAACGAGTTTGAGCAGGACAATCGATTTCCATTGACTGCTTTTTAATACTCGTCATCTGGTGTGTCAATCATATTGGGAATACTTTGTAAAGGATTCATAAAAACGGGCATTAGCGCATAGCCATTTCGGTGTTGAATAACAGGAACGGCCTATACAGTCAGAGAAAATATAAAGGAGGCAACTGATTTGTGTCCTGTGGTAAAGAGGCGCGAGATCATAATCCAGAATAGTGCATGCAAAAACTGGAGAACACAGCTGTTACATTTGTTCTATAAATGAGTAGTTGGCTTACAGACATGTTATTGTTTACTATGAGAATCACTCTGTGGATGTGGTGCTTTCATAAACTGAGTGAGCTTCATGAGCTAAAGATGAGCCTATTTTCTGTGAAAGCGGTGTGCGCTATTCAACTCAATAAGCGTTCTCTTTGATAACATGCGGGCCATGCGCTAGTCCTTTCCAGCCAACTGTGCTGGACGCCAGCGCTAATGTTCGATTTGCCATATTTCCTATAACGCACAACACCAGAGGCCTCTACAAAGGAGCCTATTGTGATAGTAGAAGCGCCCAAGCAGGAACAATCATTTAACCTACTTCACAAGGACAGAATACATAGCATAGCTAGCTTAATGTTTTCAAGAATGGATTCGTTGTGAAAAAACGACAGACCAAACGAGGACAGTCCGAAATTAACCTAAAACAAGAGGACACAAAAGTAGTTCAGCTTGACTAAATGCTGAACTGGATTCTATTGATAACCCCATGGATAAATGTTATGCGAAATCTCTAAGTCGTAGTAATGTACGTGCTTCTGCGAATTCTAAGCCTATTGGATGAATCTCTGGACGAGGGTTGACAATGATCTTAGATGATATGCACGCATTTTACATCTCTTTGAATTTCAGAGATAGAACCTTATTTTCAGACTAGACCGAAGGCATACTGATCCTTTATTTGGCAGGATCATTAAAGTCAGATGGCATAAAGGTCCTGACACTAAAAGTGTGCAAAGTGCTTCAGTCCCATCGATGTAAGTTGTCAGTGAAATAGGGCTCGTTGAAGACAGTCATGCGTTATGCCAGACGTTTTTATATTTTGTGTGCGGTCATGAGAATCAATTATGTCCTAATGCAGAACAATGAGTCTTTCGGTTAACGTTTGCTTTTTCCTACCACTGATTAATTCACTTCTAAGCTGTAGCCTTTATGGTTGGTCAGCGTTTTCGTTTTCACAAAAAAAGACAGGAGTTACTCACTGGAAAAAAAACACTGAGAAAAGTCCTGAAAAAAACTTCCGCTAAAAATATAACCATGTATAACGTAACTGCATTTGTTTTTCAAAGTGTTACTGCTAAACACGGGTGTTGCCTGAACAGGTAGTTGTTCGTTATTACGATGACAACACTTGTGATAAAGATCACCACTACGATGAAGATGATGCCAATGCACTTTCCACTGGTGATCGTTTCTGTTCTATCGGTGACAGCATGACCTGATAGCGACTACAGTCAAGGCGACTATTCCAGGATCTTCTCGTTATTCTTGCTGAGGGTCCACGAGATAAGTCTTGAACGCTGCCGAACACTCAGCAGAGTAGTCTATCGCATTCTGTCACCCGCATCAATTAAAAATCCTCTGTCGTTCTGCGCTGAGCTTGATTAAGGCTCACAAAGAATAGTGCACCAATGTTGTTGATTATATCCTGTACTGACATGGTACTAGGTTACGTTCAGTTTGATGCTGTCGGTGGTTGTGGGCAACTACTTCTCGCTTGTTTTTTTGAAGTGATTAGGTTAATGTAGACTGTAGCATCACTTTCTACTTTCTGTTAAAGCGTTTATCACTCAGTTAAGCACTAGTATTTACCAATAAAATATTGCGTCAACGATGAAGACAAACTTCTAATGATGCTGGTGCTGATGGTGATAGTGGTTGATGATGAAATCTGATGACGAGAGGGGATGATATCGATATTACATTGAGTACAGGTACTTGAATCATGTTTTGGTGCGACGGAGAGTATGGAAAGACTTGAACCCTCTCAAACGTTAACTTTGTTAATTATTAGTGTTTTCACGGAGCTTGGTTTCGACACACCAAACTTTGAAAACTCAAGCCTGAAGTTCAATTTTTAAGGAGAGGTGATTTTAAATTTCACTGGAGACCTGGACATGATATTTTGAGTGGGAAATAAATGAGAAGTCCAGTTGGTATTCATTTGAGTCTCTGTTTAATACCAACGTGATTTGCAGTCAACCGAATTTCGATAATTATACCTTAGGAACTCGGACCAACTAACCTGGGTAGGTTGATCAATACATCCGCCTGTTCACCTTTGTTAGAAAATTATCAACAAGTAAATCCAACAACTACACCCGCCACCAGAGTGTGTGCGTGAATGACACCGGGAAAAGCGATGATTCCTGTTTTGGGCGTGCCTCACGGCAATTCATGTCAAAGGGATAAGTGTTTATGTCCCGGTGTTTGTTTTGGCATCCTCAACGTGTTTGTTACAATAACTCAAGAAAATGCCATTGGTAACGCGTACGCTTCTGTTTATAAACAATGTGCATCAGTACTCCTGGAATCTCTGCAGGGTAGAAGTGTTCATATCAGTGTGATGTCTGTGAATCGTTACGTTCCCGCAATTGATGCTGCAAACGGATTTGCAACAATTCAATTACTTTGAATTTTTATTTCTTCTGATTAGGAAGTGTTTGCTGAAGGACCTTAGCGAGAGTGCCTGTCATGCAAGAAGTGCGTTGTAGAGAGCACTGTGTTGGAAGTCTTATCAGTAACTGTTAATGATATCAACACTTGTGGAAGTAGGCTGCTCAGCCTAGCACAACATTTCACGGAACTGAATTCAACAGAAGGTTTCTGAGATGTTCTAAATGACGCACTTCTAACCTTTGTGCGACAATGTAGGAAAGAAATGTTGACAGCTATGGGCAATGGAGAGAAGGGCGTCGGATTCCTGGGACTCGCTAACTAAACGATTGATTGCTATCGGTAGCTTTTATGTGCAATCAGGAAGAGAAGATGGACTACCATCGTTCCTTGTCGTATCGTCAGAAAAGAGTCACTGTTGAATTTACAGGCACTTATAAACTGCACGAGTTAAACTGGCCGGTCGATTGCAATTCCAGGGGCTATTTGTTTGACCTCAGTATAATTCAGTGACTTTAGCTGGCTTCGAAAAATAATTAACGGTCGTTGATTGATGCAGGTAGCCAGAGGGCGACCGAAATTCGAATGCTTTCTGATTTGTTCCAGTGTACTATGACGTAATTTGCTGAATGGTGAATAATGTCTACAGCCTCTGTGCAAGCACTATCAGGCCTGACACAGCTTCGTTCGACCGACTGCAGTAATTGTTGTCCAACCTTACGACAAAGGCTTGCACTCTTAGGGCGTTAGCACTTTGGTTTAATGGTGCCAGAAAAGTTCTGGCGAGGACTGACAAAAGGAAGTCGCAACGGAACAAGCCGAACTGTGTCACCACACCTGTTTTTGTTTGATCGACGGAATAAACGAACTAATTAAGACTTTCTAGGTTGTTAATGGTCACACGACCACGAGCCTTTTCAGAATGTCTGTCCCTCGCAGTTAAATTAACTTCGGAGGACGCAAATGAAAACCACAGCGATAGTTGATTGGTGAACAATGAGCTTCCCAGTGCAGACCGCCATTCAGCAAATCAAGCTGGATCAGCGATGCGCTCGAGGTTTAGCTGTCCAGCTTACGGCTCGTTCACCCACCTCCCGTCTTTCAATCTAAATTTAGAGGCCGATTAACTTATTTTCTGCTGTTTGTCAGGCCTACTTTCGTTAAATTAAATACCAGGACAGTAAACTGATGCCCCCTTTCGATTATTCGGCTATTCAGCTATAAACAGTGTACCAGGGCCGTGATTCTGGAGGCTGCAGTTTGCTCGACCGAGGGGGGTTGAAGGAACGACAGCCCCGCACGCAAGAATTTGATATGACCACAGACGGAGTTGGATAGAAATGATGTTTGTTGACCGTCAGCTAATTATTGTTGTGCTAGAGCGTTTAAATAATAACAGCATTAATGGTTCAGTTGTAGCGCATTTTTGGTGCTTAGCTGCCATGCCACCCGAAGGAAGTATGAGGCTGTTTGGTGACTACTGAAGCAGACGAAGAAACTCCTGAAACTTTCACAGAACTCAAAGGTTAGTTTCAGTGGACTAACTATGAGAAAGTGATCCTTCTTCAAAGGGCCACGGAATAGAATAGCGAAACAGCTAATCCACGAGGAAGAACACATAGTGTGACACATTTGTGAATAAGACTTACAGAAACGAATAGATGTCTCAGGCTAGAAGCATAAAATGAGAGTTTGAACATGAGTCAAACAACCGAAGTTACTAGCTGGGGTAACGCCGAGGCCTCTCATGTCAGGGGGTCTTGAAACAACAGGACCAACGTGTAAAACACGAAATTTCCACTGACTGAGTTCAGGCCTTTTCATACCTAGAAACTGAAGCATTAGAAGGCTGTCGTACATATCGTCCGGTTGATACCAGCTTAATTTGCAAATCTGTATTAACGCTAATAACGACTTATACATTGAGTAAGATAGGGAAGTAATCGGTTTGCTGGTCAGTGAACTTATCATGCACCCCATCCACTCACCAAGTCTCCGTCACTCTAACTATTTAGTAGGTTATCCGTCGACAATCATCTATCGCACCACTCTTACCGCTGGTTGCGCTTTTGATTTTTTTTGGGATTGCAAACGACCGTGTGCCAATTTCAGTGAACTTATTGAAATTTGTGTGAGACTTATGTTAGGAATTTGACAAATGTTTCGACATCCTTCCCTTCCAGATCGTCACATCTGGCCAATTTTCCCCGAACTCCGTTTGTTCCATTCATATCAGATCGATTACCACTGTTGCATCATTGTTGCCATGTCTGACTTGGGACCTCTCTTCCATCAAGCTGTTAAGTTTTGATGAGCTTCCTAGAGCAACCATTCGCCTCACCAGTTCACCTCTTGCCGAAAACCTTCAACACCTTCCACACTGTAATCATGTGAAAGTTTCACTACTCAACCTGCAGGCTGTAACTAACATCTAAATACCAGTCATATTGAATTCGTATAAGCAGTGAAGCAGATTTTGTAGGAGTGAAGCCAATATATTAAGGGAATCGGTAAACTGTACACCATGATACTGACAGTTAAAATATCTGGTGGCAGTCTGCGTGGTATCCGCACATGCCTCACAGATAAGTAATGCCCACTCGTTGATCCCTTGAGAAACACACCGAAATGAGCCCAAATGATTGCTCGACTGAGAACTACTTGTGGGTAACTCCTCAACGGCAAATCTTTCACTGACCCGCTCATCCCTGCCCATGTCAAGTCAGGTGCAACTTGTTCGGTTCGGGCTGTTCACAAACACCTATGGATTCAAGGGGGATTTTCCATGCTGTCGATACCATGGGATAAGCTGACAGCTCGCTGTCGCGTCCTGACTGCACCCGAAGGTCACGGGTAGCAATCGACCCTTCGGTTGACGAGCTTGGATAGGATTCGCCTGACGCTGTGCTCTCGTCCCTGAATCAGCGCTCAGCTGGTCTCCACTCTACCTGTCTGCCTATCTAACACTCCTGAGCCAATCGGATGTGCCGTGCGCTCCTGATCCCCTGACTCAGCAGTACGGGTACGCTGTGGCGCCCACGGGGATAGAAGGACTGAGCTGATTCTGTCAACTTGTCAGTCAGGCCCACGAATCCGACATGTGATCGACCCCCGCCAATTGCCATGTATGCGTGCGTCAGACGAGTGCGCACATGAGCACATTCGGATTGGATGTTCGTCCAGTTGTGTGAAACCCATCAGCAAGCGGGTAGGCGGCAGCTCGGCCATTGAGGCGCTCAGAGGTATCTATCAAAATCCCGCAAACAATTTCATTTCTTGTGCTGAGTCACCAGTCCGCATGCGAGGGTATGGTTAATGCTTGTTCTGGGATTGATCATTCACTGCAGGCGCGCTGAATTAAGTCGACCCTAAGTGGTGCGGACTCGATGGATGAGATTCAGTATAGTAGCATAGGCTGAGGGTGCTATGAATAGACGGATTCGCTCTCTTCATTTGCACTGTAAACCATATATGGATCAAAGGGTCTTAAAATCTTCCGAAACTTTCATCTGCGTGGCCCACGGGAACCTATAACGATTCGGATGGCGCAGATGCAGATGCAAGAGACACGTGGTCCCTACGGTGTGTTGGGTTAGACGATGCAATGGCTCACCAACAGATTATTTTTTGTCAGGTTGTAATGTACACTGAGCGTTAAGTTGGAAAATCGTAGCTCGTCTTTGTCGTGATAATTTGGTTTGGAATATAGCACGATACTGGTAATGGGAGCATTCATTGATAATTGATCAGCTGGCTGTTGATCTGTTCGCCTAGCTTGTCAACTGACTTGCGGACGTTTCGTGTCACCATTCAAGGACACATCTTCAGCTCACCTGATCAATTACCAACAGCGCGATGTATTTGAAATAGGAGGAAAGTTAGCCGCATAATGGTGAACTGTTGTGCTCGTTTTTACCTAGTTAGGGTTTCGCTTCTTGATGGGCGCAATACAGTGAATAGTGAAACTTTTCACGGGTCTTCTATTTACCAGTTAACAGCGTTATCGCTGTTCAGTTTAACTCAGCTTTATCCAGTATCCGATACTCGAAAGATGAACTGATTACACTGCACAGGTTGCGCTGGCTTGGCCACGTGTTGCGCATGCCAGTCGACCGAATTCCTCGAAGAGCTCTTTTCTCACAACCACGTGAAGGGTGGAAGAGAGGCAGAGACGGTCAAACAATGACTTGGAAGCGAAGTATGAAAGCCATTACCAGCAAACTCAGCTGCGCTGGTCACTGCCGGCTTCCTGGATGGGTACCCCGAGACGGATCACATCAAGGGCTAGACATTGTCAGACATGGCCCAGTCGCGCCCTCAATGGCGCTCGTGCATTCAAGCTACTGCCTTCAATGCATAGCTCCTTTATGCACCAATTTATCAGCTCCCGCCTGCAATGCGCAGCTACCTCCCCCTCCCCCAATCATCGGTGAACGGAACTGCGGCAGCTACAACCACTGTACGACGAGTACACGGTTGTTACAGCTGAAAATGATGGTGATGATGATGACTAAAGTATGTGGAATTGTGAACGCGTGCAAACATCCTGCCACACCCATTACAACTCAACTGCGTACAGGATGCGAGTTGATATTGTACAGCTTGAACAAAGGTCTTGATGCACAGCAGCTGTAACCGAGCAACCGTGTCGTAACAGTAATTTTGTGATAATGAACCCAGGTGACAGGTTCTTCTCATGACATCTTTGTTGAAATTAGGGACAAAAGCGGAAGAGCACGACATATTTCAATTTTCCAATATAAAACCAGTTTGTTGCACCTGATAAGAATTCTTGACGATTTCAATTTCTCTGCCGTTTCTAGCTCTCAGTCACAGCCCCGACTACAAGATTGTTTCGCCCAAACCACACAGACATGTCAGTCTCCCTATCCCGAAAATGGATACTATCACGCCCCTTCCAGTCCACCTAGTCGAGAGCAAACAACCACTTACGAGGACGCACTGAATCATGGGATACGTCAACCCAGGCAACGTTGGATTAACACAAATTTGGGTGCTGTGCGATGTGCCAACTGTCCAGACGTGGTTTTTGCAAACGAACGAGTGGATGCTTGCGGTAAAGCCTTTCATAGACTTTGTTTCAAGTGCACCAGCTGTCGGCGCTTGCTGGACCGGGGGACGGCATGCGACCACAAAAAGGAAATATTTTGTCAAAGTTAGTTGTTTCAATTCAACTTATACACTCATCTTCATGCCAATTTGATTTTGACAGGGGACTCATCTGGAATCCAGCTGAATCTTCCGTTTATGATGTTCTCAGTCAGGTGAATGTGATGCTCTAATTCTTTCGAGGGGCTCTGCTACGCGAATCGGGCGAATGGGACTAGTCCAATCATTTTAATTCTATTATCTCTGGAGGTCGACGTATGGGTAATATTTGTCCGTTGTCTCTTAACACTGTTCCGTCCAATGATTCGGGATTGCATAACCCATGCATGTAAAGATTTCGGTCACCATGACAACAAGGAGTGGAGTCTTAATCGACTAAATAGGGACCGTAGATAATACACAGGGTTAAGTCTGGTAGCATCCCTTTAGATTACCACTGGTTGCACCCGTAACACAGTGCAGAGAAGATACTATTGGATTAGAAGTATCGAAGTTACTAAGCCATTCAGATAACCCGTAGGATAAAAGTGGCCGATACAAATTGTTGTTTTCGAAATAAGAATCCTCAGAATAACAAACTACGTGAAATTTCACCATCCATGGCCTAATGGAAAATCCGCAGATCGTGTCCTGTGTTACGTACAAAAATTTTACCGCAAACATCCACGGATTGAAGACAACGAAGCGAAAGAACAAATTCACTGTTGACTTATCATGTTCCGAATACACGGCTGGACAACCTAGATGAAAAGTGGAAACTATGAGCCACTGGTGTCCTCCCAAGCGGATCGAAGTAGGCCACATAGAAAATTGCCGAACAGGGAAATCGATTGTGAAATTTTTTAATATAGTAAGCAACAGAGATCCCTTCTCTTGTACAAGATGATACAAAGTCAACTTGATGAACGTTGTTACTTCCAGTCCTGATGTTTGGGTTTACTTGATGGTAGTATATTTTATGAACTATTCATTATGTGCAGGCCCACTAACCCAAGCATCTCCTATAAGGAGTACAGGTTATCGGGTTCTATGATCACAGTTTTACAATGGAGTGGTCTATCAGGGAAGTAAGGAAATGTTAGCCTAGAAGCAATTATACCCGGCATACTTACAGTTTCTGCTTATCCCAAGTGAATGTCAAAATGGGAATTTTACATAATTACAAACTCAACCTACAGTATCAATAATGGAATCGACGTATTGCTCTTAAGCACCGCAAATCCATGTTCGTCTTTTAAGGCAATCTTCCTTGGTTTTTAGAACAGCTGTCTTTAATTATGGCTCGGATCGTGGTAGCCCACGCACGGTAGATTCGGAACCAATTTCGTCCATCGATGTGTACCGGTTTATCGGCATCAGCTTTGGTTGTGTTGAGTCGTGTACCAAATTCTCCATGGAATCGATATTTCTAGCCTGTTGACGCTGAGAGAAACTGCTTTGACAGTTCCGTGGACAAAATCGACCTGGAGTCGAGCTTGTTAGATAACTGTGTTCACTTCCTGTATATCGCAGAAGTAGTTGGACATTGATTCTCCAAAGAGTGAACCGCGCCAATAAACTGCATATATTCTTGGTAGGCATCGACAACCGGAAAGCTAGTTCCTTTGACGATCCCAAGCTTTCAAAGGTTAGGTCATGCAACCGCCGAATATGGATGACTGATTGATATACCTGGACCTTTTCTTCTAGGCTGATTTTAAGGCTCTCAATGATGCGCAAGAAAGTAATTCTTAAATGTAACGCACTACTCAGAAGGTCGCTGGAAACATCACAAACTGGAGATTCGGCTGGGTTCCAGGTGAGTCTCTCCAAAAACCAAATTAGTTTGCAGATGAGTGTATTTCGCTAATTCTTACATGGTTATTGCGTAGACAGAATTGTTTGAACACCTGACCTTTGGGAAGTATCGTTAAGTGAGGATATGTGAATTCTTGGACTTATTTGATCTCCCTGCCTGCAGTTGACAGTGACTGAGGAACGGACGAAGAATTTTCTGACTTCACGATGTTGACTTCTAATCCAAAGTGAGGACTCCGATCAGCGCCTACATATTATTCTGATAAAAATATAATTAAGGTTGCCTTTGTGAACTAAAAACACTTCTTGCATATCAAAATTAGCAGATGTCATGATGGCATGAGACCGCAAGTTTGGCTGTACACTAGACCTCAACCGAATGTCCACAATAAATTTGCAAAGTCCAGAACACTGGAATCAGAATTGTATATAAGGATTGCTAAATCGGATCCAATAAACGATGACAATTTGCTTGTGTGATTAGGATGCACATTTACTATCAAATATATCGTATACTACTATGCATTATACTATAGTTGTAAAGCATTGACCAATGCCTATGTATGCATGAGCAATCTTGCGACTCAGTTTGATTCCCAAATGCGTTCAGTCCTTTCTCCTTTGAAAATAATCGATCTAATGTAACTGCAAAACACTAAGGACAGGGTAACCAAACAAACAAACTTTGTTCTATCAGACCAACGTTAATTCTGTACGGCTAACATGAGCAGGAACAATTCGCATTGTTGGGATTCGGAACAGGAAATATCCTTAGAATCACGAGTTCGACCCCACTATTCGTAGATCTAAATGCAGCCAAAAAACAGCATGACAAATCGGGTAAAAGTTGAATGCAACCATCGTATCATGAATGTTGGATCTGACAGTCGGTCTTGGCTGCCTAATCCACTCCCCCTGTCTTTGACTGTTCCCCATCGAACATTGTTAAAGGTCCGAGTATTACCATGACCTATTTTAACCCGCTATGCTCATGATTACATGAAAATAGCTAGTTAAATCCACGTGTGAACTTTGGGGGAAATCACAGCAATGAGCCTTCTCATTGCAGCACGAAAATTCTATCGGACAGAGCCAACACATGCGGATCGCTCTTTTACAATGCGTAAAAAGGGAAAAAACAGTGAACGAATGGCTTAATAAAGTTGTCTTGATAACTTGTCCTGCTAAAATGTTTTCAGAAAACAATTCGAATAACATGAGCTTTGCCCCGTTAAGTTGGACGTTCCGGCGAATTTAAGATAGCTCACTTTAACGCGTCCTTCGAAACACCTATTTCTAGGGTTGCTCAACAGGGCTCGGCTTGCGACAACTTCTATTCTTTCTGGTGCGGTTAACCGAAACATGGATTTCAACTATTTGCCACCATAGTGGAAACTATTGTGTGGTCTGTGTAGTCGCCTTCGTCACTGCTTTCCTTCGACTCCTTTTGTTAGTCTACACGATCATGGACACCTTACCTCTGATTTCTACCGATGTCATCGTAATCATAGCCGTTACCAACATCATTACCTCTGGCAGCATTACTGTTATTGTCATCACCATCCCCGAGATCACCATCATTTGCTCCGTTTCCATGCGTACCATGACTCTTTTTCGTCTTGAGCCAGGTCTGTGATTATGTTGACTTTTGTTACCAAAGCTTTAGGTATAAAGCTCTTCTGGTCTAATGGTTTTCTGACCGTTTTACCGTCTACCTACGTCAAAAGCCCCAGAAGGAGTGAAATGCCCCTTGCACCTGAGTCGACCACATTTCTGCCATACCCATTTGGTCGGATCCAAGTGTATCGTCCACCAATTATCCGGTCCCACTTGGGGTGGGGGTGGAAATCACTTAGACTAAAACAGCCTGAACATTCAAGAGAAGTTATACTACTCTGCTACTCCTACAGTTGCATATAGCGTGAATCATTTCCTATCTTTGTTAATGTTTTGATTAGTATTCGATTCACTCGTTAGAGGCTCTTTTTCATTTGGTAAGTTCCTGTCCTTCGTTCAGGTCGCTTGAAATGCTTTAGAGTTTCGATCGCCAATGAAAAACAGCCAGATACACTATCGGAGTAACCGCTACAGTTGACCACATAAAGGTCACATAAACCATCAATTCTAGTGAGACTCGTATGTATTGAGTGTAAAACACCGTCATTAAGTACAGAGAGGTTTTAGGGGGGTTGAGTTATTTTAGTGCACCGTATAAGACAGCCACTCAGTAAACTTTACTCACGTTCATAGATGAAGGTCACAGGCTTCCGGCACAAACTCACTTCCAAAGGAAGTAAAATGATAGGTAGAACTGGATAGGCTTCCACCTTCTGATTTCCTCAATCTGGAGATTCACTTTGGAACGACTTTCATCTCCAATACGACCGCATGGTCGTATTGGAACGGAAATCCTGCGGCTAATTTATTATATCGTTCTTATAGAGGATGGCTTCACGAATTGCGACTGTCTCCGTAATGTGGCCGAAGAGTACCGTAATGTCGGAACACTGTACCTCCTTTCCTTTTTACTGCCAGCTGATCGCTCCTTTCGTGACTCATCGTTTTTGCACGGGAACTTTCGTGTAATCTGCGTCATTTTTTTCAGATTGTTACACAAAGCATTTTGGATCCACGGGCCTGAAAGCCGGAACACACCTCCGTTGCAA